AGTGTGGTGGTGGGGGGGGAAGTGGCTGGAGACCTCCCTTAGTATAGCAGCCTGGAGGAGTTCCAGAATACCTTGCAAAAATATTGCTATGTGGACACAAACACAAATGTTAGTCAACACAGAGGAAGTTCAAGAATGAAAGTGAAAGACAGCAAACCTTTCAGAGAAGAAGTCAAAGAAAATGGAAGGGTTTTTACCTCAGACATGGAATTGTCTTGTGAGAAAGGGATAGTGTTTCCTTATTCAAGCAAGTACTGGTTCCACAAGGCATTTTATCTACGAGAGAAGAGCATAAGCCATCAGTAAGTATAAAAGGAAACTGAAGAGCTTTATGAGTTTACAGTAAAGAGCTTCACCAAAGATAAATTATTTTCATTTTCTCTCTTACATCATAACATTATTTGTGTTACGTTACTTTAGGATATTTTCAGATTTTCATATTGACAACTACAGAAAGTTGTGTACACAAGGTATTGCCAGCCTAAACCTGAAATAAAAAAGGGTTATCAGGATCTACTACCTAAAATTAGTTTTTAAAACAATTTACTTCTGGCAAGCTGACAGTGGACTTATCAGAATGGAAGGACTGCATCCAGGGCAGCTCTTGTACTGAGATGACAAGATAAATACCTGGCCCCAAACCAGAAGCAATGCAACGATGCAGGGAAGAAACAGAGTTCACTCTCAAGTATTCCTACATGCTACCTAAATATTGTGCCTGCAATAATCTGTACGTAAGCCTAGGGGTAGAGTTGTACAGTACACAAGGCAGGGGGAAAAATAAACAAGTTAATAACTTGATGTCAGCCTTACCAATTTGTAGCATTTCTATTTCTAGCGCAGAACCTGTTGGTCTGTTAGATGAAGGGTCAGAAGAAGTGGACCGAGTCTTAAATAAAAACAAAAAAAGTACCAACATGAGTATAACCTGAATGTGAACCAAAGCAAACATAAACTTCCTGCAATTCAGACAGCTCTATTATAACCTGGGGACCATGACTTGCTGGTTCAGACTGTAGCAAAATGCAAATCTTTGCAGGATCTCCGACAAGTACATTTTAATTTTTTAATACGGGCTCTCATACATGTAGTGATTAAAACAATACAAGCTTATTGCTGAGTTCTTCTCAGTCAGCTCCTAAACATTCCAAAGTGTGATGGTTTAGCCCTTGAAAAATACATTTTGTACAAATAGGAGTTAATGACTCTCAGGAACAAATAATTAGACCATGACAGTTTCTTATTCCTCTGATCTTATGGGGCAATAAGAAAAATAACACTACAACTTTGAACCAAACTACAGAGTCAAGCAGTTCATGACTCATTTTTACAGAGCCAAAGTCCTACAGGAATGCTCTCCTGGACTGGTGGATAACAAACCTAGCAGAAAGAGGTTTATCCAGAGGAAGTATGCAGTTTTTCTTGTACTGTAATGTATTTTGACTCCTTAACTACAAGCTTGAGAAACAGAGTAACAGTTCACAAACACACTAAAACTATAAAATTGAACAATTGCAAAGTATCTGGAAGACAACAAGCATTTAGCTCCTTCCTTGGCTGCAAGTGCAAGAGCAGAGTACGCAAACTTGAGTAAGGCAAACCCAGCACACAAGAGCTGGAAAAGAAGAACCTACTGCTGTACAGGCTCAGAGCAGGCTCAACCTCAACCTGCATTAGGGAGAGCCGCTTCCTCTTTCATCTTGCACAGATCCTACCTACTTTCAAAATCCTTGCTAACCTCTCCTGCAGACTCTGTGACTGGAGCGGCATTGCTGACTGAAGCCTTCTGGCATTCACTTGTTGCCTTGGCTGGCAACTTCACCGCAGCAGGAACTTCTTCAACTTTCTCTTTATGCTCAGAGATGGCGTAATCTAAAAAATAAAGACAGGCCATATAAGAACATGATTTAAAAGGGGATTAGGATTTCTATTTGCATTAAAGCCCACCTCCTTAATCCCACCTAAAGCTGTGTAACTCATTTCAAGTTACACACCCTTCTGTCAACAGCAGGTGGTGGTGATATTTGTATTAGTTGGCTCACTGCACAGTCCTTCAGAGCTAGAGCTCAAAGACTAACCCGTGAGCCTGCCAGTCAGATCTGCAAAAACACCCTGCTTTTGGGAACACTCCCTGTGTCTGGAGAAGCAGCACAGCGTGCAATTTATCCTCCTCATCCCCTCCACACATGCATGTACTCTTGCAGTTTATTACGTGTCAGTCTTGTCTAGTTGAGAGAAGCTGTTCACTGAGGTCTAGAAACCAAAGGTACCCAAGCCTGTTCTTTTCAGTATTAAAGAAGCAGAGACATGCAACCCCTCAGACAGTATTTCCAAACATCAATAAGCCAGGGCTGTCTAATAAGGGGCTGTGTTAGAGATTAAATCATATTAGACACCAGCATTTGTTTGAAGATAAGAGAATGACTTTTTAGCAGATGAGGGCATAGAAGGTTCTTAGAAGTAGATCTGGCCTACTTACTAAGACATGGGAATTGTTCCTACTAAGAGTTGGTCATGTTGCTAAAAGAAGGAAGGATAGGGGAGCAAGATATCAATTTGACATATTTTTCAATTGTTTTATGCTCTTAAGCCTGAAAATCATAGAATAGAATCATAGAATGTCCTGAGTTGGAAGGGACCCACAAGGATCATCGAGTCCAACTCCTGTCCCTGCATAGGACAACCCCAAAAATCACACCATATGTCTGAGGGCGTTGTCCAATTGCTTCTTGAATGCTGTCAGGCTTGGCGCCGTAACTACCTCCTGGGGGAGCTTGTTCCAATGCTCCACTACCCTTTGGGTGAAGAACCTTTTCCTAATATCCAACCTAAACCACCCCTGCCATATCTTCCTGCCGCTCCCTCGGGTCCTATCATTGGCCGTCAGGGAGAAGAGATCAGCACCTGCCCCTCCTCCTTCCCTCATGAGGAAGCTGTAGACTGTGATGAGGTCTCCCCTCAGTCTCCTCTTCTCCAGGCTGACAGACCAAGGGACTTCAGCCGCTCCTCGTACAGCTTCCCCTCTAAACCCTTCACCATCTTTGTGGCTCTCCTCTGGACACTCTCTAGTAGCTTCATATCCTTTTTGTACTGTGGTGCCCAGAACTGCACACAGCACTCAAGATGAGGCCGCACCAGTGTGGAGTAGAGTGGGACAATCGCCTCCCTCGACCGGCTACCAGTACAGTGCTTGATGCACCCCAGGACACGGCTGGCCCTCTTGCCTGCCAGGGCACACTGCTGGCTCATGTTCATGTGTCAAAAGCACACTAACAGTTCAGCAGCCCCTACCATTAAATCAGGGGCAGCATCGTTCGCCAAGCAGTAACTAGGAAGTTCCACGTCTCCCCGCAGAACTTGTGCTAGGAAATGTCGTACAGCCTACAGAGCATCATTTCTCCCTCTTTACTAGTAAAGATGCAAAAAGGGAAATGTCCATCTCATGTCATGACCAATGCAGCTGTCATCCAGAGGCACCAACATGGCTGCAGGCAGCTGCATAATTTTACCCTTAAACACTTTGCAGAGGGGGTATCAGAAAAAGTCTCACTAAAGAGAGCACTTCTCTGCCCTGCTGTTCTCTGCTATGCCTAGCCTCTGCTGCATCTCCATCCTTCTTTACTCATCCTTCCTCTATCTTGCCAAAATGCACATGCCAAAATTTTCATATTCAGACTAAACTGACTCTTCTGTTTTCAATTCAGCTTTTCACCCCCGCCCAAACCCACTAGCTCACAGAAATACCATTTTTCTCTGCCTGCCATCAGTTTAAAGTTACCTTCCTTCACATCCCAGATTCTAAGTGATTTCTCATAAGACAGATGGGTATTTTCAACCAACAGAGGTAAATTGCAAACACAGATAGGAGGGAGCACACAGCTTTGATTTAAAACACTCTAACTCTTTCTGCTGATGTGCATGGGCTTACAGTCAGAGAGACCTGGGATATCTCCTGCTGGCAGTAGAAGTATTGTGCCCTGCCACAGTCAACACAGATAACATCATATACAGGGCTAGGCCCTATGATATACCCTCAGGCCACTGGCAACACAGATGGCCACAAGGAAAGAACGGCTTGAAAAGCCACAGTTTCGGTAATAATGCTGAAGTACAAACGCCAGAGTTTCCTAAGGTACGTGAAACCTAAGAAAAATGAGGCATATTAAATATTTCTGTAGTGTGCAAATACCTGATTTTTGCTTTTTTGGTTGGGCCCGGTCAGGATCTTCCACAGGTGGCCAAAGGCTGAGGAAAGAAGACACAGAACAGTGTTTTGCAACCACTGGTAAGCTTCTAACAGGCTGACTTCCCTCCACAGGGCCCAAACTTCCAAAGTTAGTTTTCATATCCTGAACGCCTTCCCCCCCCCCAAGAACCCCTGGGATCATCTCAGACACACGCACCCAACTGCCACTGCTGAGCATCTCTCATCAACACCCCCCACCTCTCCCAGTCAATGGACCGCTCACAGAGAGCTAATTATCCCACTAAAGCATATTAGGCCTCTCTTTCTCGTTCTGTTAATGCTTCCTAGTATTGCACGTTTGTTCCTATCACCAAAAAAAATTGCTTAAGTTAATATGTAAAGTTTTCCTCTTTCCTCAGGGAAAGAAGCACACCAGAGATTACCAAGGCATCTAAGTTCGTAAGCCACTACACTGAGTTGCAAAGAAAAGTGTAAGTAGGACAGGAAATAAAAGGTGGTAAAGCAACTCATGCATACACCCACTTAAATAACTTACTGGTAAATCAGTGCTTGTCAACTAGTTCTTGAAATAATTCTTAGCTGCACCCTTTCTTACGAAGCGTAAGTCCAAGTATTACATCAGTTGATAACAATGATAAAATCTATTAAAAATTTTTACTTTGGGAACAGAGCGCAAAGGTTGTTCCCCGTTTTTTTTTTTCCTATGTGCCTCCAAAAATGCCATGACAGATGGCAAGGATTCTTTGAAGAATTCTTTGGTCTTCCTTACACAAAATAATTTCTTTTAAACTGTTATGGTCCCAAACCCTGCTGGTATCATCACTTCTGGACTATCTTCTGTCTGTATCAGGGGCACAAAAAGTAACTGATATCCTTAAGGGCACCTTTCATACAATATAAAGAATATTTGCTACTACTATGCTATTAAAAGTCAGCCAGAAAATATTGGGGGGTAGGTGTTAAAGGCGAATACATTCCTATAAAAATGCATTCTTATTCAGCATATTCGATATTTCAGAAGGTAAAACTGAACAAGACGAAACGTTTGTATCCTCCTGCTCAATTTTTAGCAAGAGCTAACTAATTCTGAGTTGCTCTTCAGTGAAAACTTCCCAGCATCAGTCTTCTGCAAGGATAAAGCACAATTTAACCTCCCCAAGGCTACGTTCTGAGATAAGCAGAGTTTAAATACCTGACTGTGGCTACAATAACTTTTTTTGAACAGAAGTGCCTCTTTCTCCAGCTTTAGCAGAGCACCCAACACCTGTGAGAGTGTTGCTTTGTCCTTTTTTACTTTACCAACCACTTGGAGGTTTAGAACTAGTCTGATCACAAGAAAAGATGAATTCTCTCTTGGTAATTCAGAAATAAATTGGGAAATATTTGATGTTCTGAAGTAGGCATGGCCAGGGAACACGGATGGGCAAAAGGCAAGGAAAAAACGAATCTATGCTTAGCTACCTCTGTCTCCAACGGGAATACACAACCCCATGAGACGGTTAAACTGTGTCATCGCAACTCGGGTTTTGCCAAGGGCCTGGGAGAAACAGGTAAGTGCACAGGGTGTTGAGTAATATTTGAAACATGCTGAAAAAATGGGCCAGAAAATAAAAGTAATTTGAGAACGCTCTCTATGTAAAGATGTGTTCATGTCCTCCATGCTCTAGAGAAGACAGCACCTCTTCATGCTCAGCATTTTACTTGCCTCCTTAACAACTACAGAAAAAAAATAAGGTATTAGAAAAACCAAATAACCCCCATATAAGCTCAGGCCCTCTTCTTTTCAAAAACTCCTCCCCCACCAGTGCTGAGGACAGTTCATTAAGATTTATAACTTGAATTTGTAAAAATTTCAAGTTTTCACAGGCTAACCCCCCCCAAAATTGCACACTGCACTTCAGTAGTGCAGTACAAGAGTATCTAATGCTTATTTACTTTCCCCACCTGTTTCACCACCCATGCCCATAATTTTTCATCTTTCTACCATGGGAAAACCTCAACTGGCAGAAATAACAACCACCCTGTGGTTTACATTTCCTTGAAGAGGCTCACACAGGGGAGCTTTGCCATTTTACGGCCTATTTCAGAAAGCAATGTTGAAAAATTTATTTT